AAATTCATGGGCCAGCGAGTTAACCACGGCACGTAAAGGTGCAACCCGCGAAACCCGCGGATCACACCTCCTTGACCCGTGAACCGTCCGCTCGGGTCACGGGTCGGCCTGCGGTCCAAGGTCGATCCGGGCCGATTTTCACAGGTCTGGCCGGTCCGTCCTTCTTGACACCTCTAATAGAGGGGCCAGTACTGGAGGAGATGGTAATACCAATGAAGGTCTACCAATAGCATGATGCTGAACCTCATCCAGCTGCTCCTGATCCCTCTCTGGCAATGGTGAAAGAGGCAAGTTCCTTTGCAAATCCCAGCCAATAGGAGACCTATCTTGCCTTTCTACTTATGACTGAATCAACTGGTCCAGGATTTCACGGAAACCACAATGCAAAAGATTGGAGACACTCCTACAACACAAAGTTCAGTAAGTTGAAAATGAGCCTGAAAAAGTGTGAGGCTCGATATAGATTGAGACAATAACCTGCTTAGAAGTTCCCTGGGTTCCATGCTGTACACATTATCATCATCAGGCGGGTGAAACCTCTCAAATCTTCTATACGGTACAGATCGCCGCATTCTTGGAGGGTCTGAAGGTTCTTCCAACCAAATATCCACAACTGCTTGAGAGCCATCACAACGCCATACACCTTGGGCTTCTTGAAACTGATCTTACTCTCCAACTTCATTTATTGCTGCTGCTGAGGTCCCATTAGGTACTGGATTTTCCTGCCAATTCCTCTCTCTCTCTTCCAAAGTGCCATCTCTCCATCCATTTAACTCATTATAGGCTGATTGTTGCCTATTTGCTCTTCCTTGGTCAGTAGCTGATGGTTGATTTGTACTTTGATCACTTCCATCCAAATCTCTTGTTGGATTTTATACGCAATAATAAAGAAGTGAAAATGAAAAAGAGAAATCAACATAAGGATTTAACGTGGTTCGGTATTGTAACTACGTCCACAAGAAGCGAAGCGGCAATATTGTATTTAGAGGTGTCAATCCGGGTGGTCCGGGCCGGGTCGGCCCGCCAACATGTGAGCCCGGTAACGGCCCGCGTGAAAAAAAGCCCGCCCGCTACGGGTTCCGGGCCGGTTACGGGTCGGCCCACAATTTTGGACTACAACCCAGGCCCGCCCGCTGACCCATCCGGGTCGAGCCCATGCGGGTCACGGGTCGCGCGGG